GCGCTCTTTCGCGCTCTTTCGCGCTCTCTCTTTCTCTCCCTTGCGCGCTTTCTCTTATTGCCCCGTCGCGACCCTTCTTTCCGTTCCCTCGCCTCCCAATTTAGCCCTACGCTCAGCAGTTAATCTAAAAGCCACGCGGGAAAGAAGCTCCGATGCATGGCCGGACTTCCACTGAGAAAGCCTCCGCCATCTTTAGTGGCAGGGTCCGGAGCCTTCTCCCCTCTCGCCGTAGGATCCAGGGCTCAAGGAGGATCGCTGCCCACCTTTTCCTGCGCTGCCTGGAAGATTTAGTTACGACTGGAGCTCGGCGCGAGGCCAGGAGAAAAGAACCTTCCGACCCCCGGCCCCGCTAGCGCCAGGCTTAAACTGTAGCCTTTGTGCCTGTCATCCCAATTCCTTCCCCTCTTTTCAGCTCTTGGCTGCCCGCATCTTGATAATCCCATAATACGTATAATTTGCCCGTACTGTATTGTCCTTAACGCGGCTGCCTCTTTTTCAAGAAGCTATTAATCTGCGTCCCATGAAAAAGCCTAATGCGCTAGGTTAATTAATAGCTCCAGTCGAGCAGATTTCAAATGGACTCACAACAAGGCAGGCGTGGGGGGAGGGGGCTCAGAAAAAGAGAAGCGTGCGGGGAACCGACCGGCTGGTCGGGGGAAGGACGAGGAAAACCCTTGCGAAGGGAGCGGGTGGCCGGCCGCGACGCCGCTTGCTGTGGTTTCTGGGGCGGTTGGGCTGGCAGATCAGGCTGGGTTGGTGGGTCACCTGGGCCTTCTGAGTAGAGGCGGCTGTGGCTACTATTAATTCGTTGGATCCCTTGGCAAACAGCATTTTGAGAGAGGCTTTCCCCTTTCGAGCCCAGGGGCACAGAGCTCTCGCCTCTGAATCGCCTTATGCATGCAAGCCCACCGTTGGAGGATTGCAACCTGAAGCGAACACAAATGTCTATCAGAATTATAGCCAAAGTGTTTTGATAAATGACTTTCTGTACAGACAGGAACCACTTCATTCACATTTGGTGTGAGCTGGTTGTCGAGGAAACTGTGTGTGATTTTGTGTATGTGTGTTAATAGGTACATATATAGTATGTGTATATAGCTATAGATAAAAAATGGAAAGTAAGATGGATGCATGCTATCTACAGTATATTCTCTTGTCTGGGAGGAATTCAGAGGAAATGTCCAGTTAAATTTATGTTAAATTCAGTAAAATAAAATACATAAAGGGCGGGGGGGGGCATACTCAGAGAGATCACCATTCTCTCTACTTCCACCCCCAAAGTACAGGAAACTGTAATTCTAAGCGATTGATTTCCATAGGACTGAACCTTCTCTAAATATTGCCCAATAAAGTCTTCAAAGTCAATAGAATTTAATTAATGCATTTAACTGCATTTAACATGGAGGGGTTACAAACGTTATCAAGAGGCAAGATATGAAGTAATTGATAACACATTCAACCTAATTTGAAGCAGGTAGGATTTATTTTGAGACAGAAATATGCAACATTAATGTTTAAGTCTATGCATTGTTATTCTGATCCAAAGTGCAACTCGATGGATGACCCTCTGTGCAGATCAGGTCATATTAGGTAGCAGTGAATACCTGCACATATAAATTTGCATATCAAATCCAGATTTACATAAGGTACTGAAGAGGCATGCTTCCAAAATTCTCATCTGATTTTTTTTTTCTTCAGATGTAAAAGTTTGGAATTAGATGAAGTACTGCTTGTATTTGAGAATTCAAAAGAGTGTTCCACAATTTTTAACAGGTTTCCAGTCCTTCAGTTCCCATATATCTTTATCTTGGTATGTATTTTCATTGCACGTGTGCATATTGATGAAGCACTGCAAGAAATAATATTCATGGCATTCAACTATGTATGATGTGTACCAGCAGGTCACAGCATAAAAAGAACCTCCAGTGCCATCACAAAAAGATCATATCAAGACTGTTCCAGACAGTATTTCATTCCTGTTTGCCAGTATATAGCTGGAAGGGATATATGATATTACACCCCACAGGCTAAGTCCATTTAAGGTGATCTTTACTTAAAAAAAAGAAAAGAAATAGGGATATCACAGGCAAAGAACGAGTCAGAAGGAGACAACTTTTTTACTGATCAGAGCACTGAGCTCTCCCTTATAAAGGAAAATCAAAAGGTCAATGCTTTTTATTTAGAATAGAGATGAGGATTTGTGACCTTCCAGACATTGTTGAATTTGACATTGTTGAATGTTGAGTTTCCAATATCCCGCAGTATTGCCAGAGTTGGTTGAAACTGATGGGAGTTAGACTTCATCCTGCAACCCCCCCTCTCTCCCTCCCCCCCCCCCCCGCCTCTCTCTCTCACACAAGAATGATCTCAGTCTTTATTGAACTGTTTTGTTATTACAACTGT